TCATTAATAACAAGATAAAGCAGGCTCCTGGTGCAATCGATCCAGTCAAGGTTTTTGACATTGCTCCTATGGTTCTGAATAACATTGAACCAGTTAGAAGGCTGCAAAATGCAAATACAAAGAATGTCAAGAACGCTGCCGGAGTTCGTCGCAGATTTGCCAAAAAGTAAAACGGCACGTTGAAAGATATCGTCAACAGTATTTTGTTTGGAAGATCGGCAATCATTGAGGCGATAGCTTCGGCAGCTGGATGATATAATGCATATTGGAAATGCTTTTCGACAATCGGCCGTTGATCCCACAACACGACGCCTTCGAACGCACCAAGAAAAGTGTTGGTTAGAACAGTGAAGAAGATCAGAACGCCGCGGCCATAAAAGCTACTGGTATCCTCAGCTAAGTTGTAAAACATACTACCCAAGATGATCGAGATGATTGCATTCCCTCCAATGCTTGATATAGGAGGTGCAATATCATTGATCAATCTCTGAAAGCATCGATTTAGGCACATGATAACCTGGGAAAAGAACGAAATGATATAAGGAGACTTTTCTCGCTGCCCGGCAGCCTTATACAGTTTCTGATCAGCCCGTAGTTTATTGAGATTTTCCTCGTTCATAGGAAATTCTTTATTGTAGACCAAGATATCTTCCATGAGCTTTACTCGTTCATCACTTCCCTTCCAGGCTCGTGCAAAATCGTCTGGAGTTTGCGGAACTTTTGCTTCAAAGCCTTGGCTTATGAGTTGCATCCTTTCAACAGAATTGGTGAGAGAAGCTAGAAAGTCGCTAGTTGTAGCTCGCGTGGGACAAACAAACCCGAGATGAGCGAAGTATTCCTTCGCGGCATCGGTACGACCGAAGTATATCTGACGGCCTTCATAAAGAAGTATCACTTTATCAAACAAGTTGTAAACATCCTGTGCAGCCTGATACATAGTAACAAGATGAGTTGATCCTGTCACTTGAGCTGCTGTACGAAGAACCTTGACAAAGTTGAGCGCATTTGAGCTATCCAGACCGCGCGTGCTGTTATCCCAACATTGAATTGATGTTTCGCATGCAACAACTTCAGCAATGCTTGTTCTTTGACGCTCTCCTCCACTGAGTCCTTGTATAAAGTCATTGCCAATTTTAGAGTCCAGCGTGCCAGTAAGGCCTAGAGCAGCGGCTGTAGCCATGATAGTTCGTTTGGTAGATGCTCGTGGGACAGAGTCATGGACCAGAGAATTTGCCGGTGTTCTAGCCCGTGTAGGTACGGCCAAGGTTTGTGAGACAGTCAGATGTGGAAAGTGAACATCAGATTCTGCTCTGTAGTTGCATTCGCCTCGAAACTCGGAATGTATCACATTGCTCGGAATTCCTAGTCATGATTAGATTTTAACCCTGATATTTTGTATTCAGATGTACCTTGATAATTCAATTGCGATGCAGAGTCCACAAATAGGCCATGAGTCTGTCCTGCAATTGTCTTGAGCAAGGTCGTGCAGCCACTACCCGGTTTTCCAAGCACCATAAGCATCTCTCCACTACGAACTAAACCCTCGAAGTCTCTGAGAATGTTGACTCGCATTTCTTCCTTATGGCCAAAAAAACGGAGGACTTTGTTATAAACCACAAAAACATAATTCGAAACGGTTTTCTGGTAGTCCGTCGGAGTGTTGAATCCATAGACGTTAAGATTCTGGAAGGATACGCTAATTGTCATCTTTCGACATCTTTCTGGGTTTTGATACTTTTCCAGAAGCCAATCTTTGTAGTTGAAGCTCTCCATCATATCATCAGACCTTAAGCTCACCTTGTCTGAACCGTTGGGAATGGCTGATTTTGTAGGGGCATTTCTTTTTTCGGATGGATTAAGATCAGTCTCTTGAAAAAGATTGTCCCTAGAAATGCTCAACGAGCCATCGGGATTCGAAAGATCATTTCCTTCACGGTTTTGTACTTTGTCTTCCATCGCGAAGTCTTTGTGTGAGTATTGAAATGTGGAAAATTCAAAGTTGCTTCAGTATTCCTAGCCCACAGGCCGACGATTCGTCCTAACTGGCGGTAGGTTTCACAACAAAAGAAAGACGAATCATTGCGCAGGGTGAACCTAACAGGTAGTCATGTCATATATGCAGTTATCCCATTTATCCCAGCACTACCGAGGTCCCTTGTGTAACCCAAATTTGAAAAAATGTTCTAACTTGAACGAGTAATAATTCTTCCATCCACAAATAAATAACCAGGTGAAAAACCCCCCTCAGATTCGATTATCAATTCTTCACGAAAGGTAGCTCCTGTAGGCTTATTTCGATTCCGTACCTTGATTTAGCCACTCTCCTGCGTTTAGGCTGGTTCAAGTGTGAAATCATGCACCTGCAACAAGTGCACAGGTGTAAGCTTACCAGCGCGAGCCTTTGGTACAGCCTTGTCGAGTTTTTATATGTACTCCTGTCTTGATGATTTAAGTGCCTGGGTATGTTCAGTTTTCTGTGTATATATTGGAGCATCATTCCCTCTGTTATAGCCAAGTCATTCTTCAGTCTACGCTTCATCATGATTTCTGATGCTATTAGAAACGTGCTGAATCTGTTCTCGCAGGTTCAAGACACTTCGGGTATTCTTCAGGTCCCTTCGTCATCTCTATCTTCGCTATCTTCCTTGGATATCTTAACTTGGTTGTCAAGATCCAATGCTTACCTTTTTATGGTATCTTTGATCCAGTCCCCTATAACACATCAGATACTTCTATACCTCAGTATCCTTTATCTTCCTTTCTTGGCCTGCTATTTGAAAACATGGCAGTCATTCGTAGCTCAGTGCTCGGATACTAGTCCTGCTAGAGAGCCTCCTACTGTTCCTTACATGATTCCATTCTTCGGGCGAACAGTTGACTCGATCATTAACATTCGAAAGTTCTTCCATGGGTTGAAGTAAGTTCAATAACTCCTTCATCAAAATTAGCATACTCACTCATGTGTCTAAGCGACCAAACTGTCTATGGGGCCAAGATATTTGGGTACAAAATATTCTTCATCCAAGGCCCTGAGATGATCTCAGCTCTCTGGAAAATCAAAGAAACAATCACAGCGCCAGTTCATCAAGTTTTGGTCTTGAACAAAATATTTGGAATGAGCTCAAAAGCTGTACAAACTTATGTTTTGGATGAATCAGGCCTCAATGCAAAGTCTCACCCACAAAGCAAGATAGAAACCCATAATCGTGTCGACTATATCACTCACGTTGGGTTTCTGCGATTACTGACTGGAGATGGACTGCCTGGACTCTACAGACGATGGTCATTAGAGTTCTCCTGCGAAATTCAAGCTCTTGGAATTAGTCAAGAATGGTCTGAGCATACTGATATCATGAAATTCTTGGAGTTGCCATTGATAGCATCGATGAACAAGGCCATAGCAGGTCCACTCCTCGAAGCCATAAATCCCGATTTCACTGAAGAATTTCTCGAGTTCCTTCCATATGCTAACCAACTTGTGAAATCTTTCCCTCCCTGGTTGATCCCTAGGGCTTATAGGCTTCGCAAAAAGCTTGTTGCCACCGTGAAAACATGGCACAGTATTGCAAGATCCCAGTTCAAAGATCATTATGTTGATGCTGATGGTGATGCTGATCCTTGGTGGGGCTCACGATGCATACGAGAACGACAGGAATGTCTATCCAAGGTAGATAATTGGGACTATGATTCGATGGCTGTTTCGGATTTTGGTCTTTTATGGGGGTAGGTCATTTCTACATTCCCTTCAATAGTAGGCATGACTGACTATCTCATCAGCGCAAGCATCAATGTTCACAAGGCAGCAATATGGGCTGTCATAGAAATATTCAAAGACCCAGCTTTGCTTTCACGTGTTCGGAAAGAACTACACGATGCTTCTTTTGATTCTGAATCTCTTGCATCCCCCCAGTTTATTCATAAACTAATTCGGATTCCGCTGTTACAATCGATTTATGCAGAAGTTATTCGCCTGCATGTAGAAGTTCAACACGTTCTTTATAGCCATCATTCACCGGTACATATAAATCAGTGGATTTTTCCTAAAAAGACTCCTATTCTGGTACCTTGTGGCCCGGCACATCATGATGCCAAAGTCTGGAATACGAGAAATGGCGAATTTCCACTAAATACATTCTGGGCGGATCGGTTCTTACTATACCCAGAGGAAGCTATGAGTGGACCTATGATCACAACACCGTCATCTAATGGCGTTTCACAATTCATGTCATCTTCCCGTCCAAAAAATTCCTCGAAGCCCATCTATTGCGAGTCCGTGATGCGGAATTCTTTCATCGGGTATGGCGTCGGAGAAAGAACTTGCCCGGGGCGCTTCTTGGCTAAACGTGAGATTATTGCAGTTTTTGCGAGGATTGTGCAACAATACGACATTGAGCTTTTGACAAAGGAAAAGCATTTCAAACATAGTATGGCATTTTATGGTTTTGGCACTCAAGCCCCAAAGAACAAGATCCCCTTTAGAATTAAAAGAAGAGAACGTTAAATGGGTACAAAGATTCGCATGGAAGATACTTGAGGAACCATCCTACTGTCGCTTACTATTTGTATATTAGACTATGAGTATGTAGGGAGGATAGGCTGATTTTTGCTACGAGTGTTTTGATAGAAAATTATAAACTTGATTAAGTCGGTCAAAATAGAATAAGTTGAGATGTCATGTCGTCGCCCTAACATTGATTTTTTTTTCATTATTGAACTAAGCAAGTGGAAAACTGACTAAAACCCTTGAATAATATTGCGCGGAAGTTGAATGTAGCTTAAGGCCAAATTCGTTGAGACCTTCTTAATGTGGTTTTAATTTCTAACTATGCTATGTATACGACAACAAAAAGACTAACGTGGCGATGAAGTAGCATGGGTATCTAGAAGATCACCTCCAAATATAATATTAAACGGAACCAAAAATTTCTGCTTTCTATATTTTTCATTTTGAATCTCGCCGATCACTTCTTCACACACCCACTTGATAACTTTAACTAAATTTAAACCATATCACGATCCGTCACGGGTGGATGTGACTCTTGCATTCCAGCCTATTTTACATTAACCACTAGTCATAAGTTCAAGGAAGTCTTATTTACCCTTTCACTCGTGGTCCAAATCTCATGTTGGACCTTGATGCTCTGCTGTTGTTCACTTAAAGGCCATCCATCTTCCTCCTGTTCCACGGGACTTTTGATGACTTGGCTTACCCTCAGTGCGCTGCTCCTTCCGTTGATGAAGGTTCTGATACCCGTTATTGTACCTCTCTCGATTCCTGGCAGTGCCATCATCCCATGCATTTCATGATGTGCACCTGCGGAATCAATAGCACCGCTCGTCTCGCTTGTGCGTCTCGTTCGCCACTTTTTGGGAGTTGCGATCAGCCGCAATAATTCTTTTGTTCTACTGAAAATCTTGCTGCTGTCGGAGGGGAGCTGGGGTCCTATTACTTTCTGGTTGCGAGAGATAAACAAAGCACGGAAGGCAGTGCCGGTGGTCAGAATCAGACCGACTTCGCCAGCGACAATAAGCCAGTAAACTTCCCATGCACTGTCAAATGTAGACTCGACATGAAGTCCAGAGACACGAATAACGGTCAGAACGATCATGCCAATGGTGAGGCAGAGTGAGAAACCGAGGGCAATCTTCTGTGTCCAGCGAATTTTGATTTGCCAAATCAAGCGGACAGGGATTACGAGAACTGAAAACTTAGTAGTTAGAGCATTTGGTTAGAATATTTTTCTTACTGATGAGGTCTGAAAAGATATCCAGGACCATTTGAGAGATTGCATAGTTGATAACAACTTGCGCCTTAGCTCCTTGGCCACATTGTACTGTATTCAGTAAATTAGCAAGCATCTTAGAGGTGGCAGCCAGGAGACTCACAAACTTGGGGATTGTTATAATGCGGGCAAGCCAAAATGTATATCGCCATTCCATATCCCGCAATTATCAAGTTAAGCACAAAGACCACCCACCAATACCGAGTCATACTCTTGATTCTATCAATCAATTTCTTGAAGAAGAAAAGAAAGCCAAACTTGACGCTCACTATTGCTCCCCAAGCACACATCAGGCTTATTGTCGAACGCTCCGAATAATCATAAACACGCTGGATAAAGTCCTTGGGAAGTTGGGTGTATATTTCAGAGGTTCCCAGTATCAAGGCTTCGGCCATAAAAAGGTTATCAATGTAATTGAAAAGGAGGCCGATAGACGCTGTAATGCAGAGGATGCCGACTATAATAAGGGCATCGTCTATAGCAAACTGTTTTTGAATTCTAATGCGTATGTAGAAGCGAATGATAGCAGCAGTGATTGCGAGTATGTAGAGTGCTAAGGTTGATGCCTTTTCCGTCAGCTTGTGCTCAATCCAGACGAAGGTGCAATCTTACGAACAACTGTTGCTTATGGATTCGACCCATATGATCAAATTGCGATAGACCCATCTCGAAAGCCGTTGTTCAAAGCGTTGAACTTGTCGGAGTAGTTGCTAAAAGATTCGTTTCTCAGATCTTCAGAGACCTTCACGTTATGTGAGCACGATAATAGGGGAACATAGACACAACTGATGCTCACGGTTTCTTCCATTTGACATCATCAAAGCGCCATAAGTTATAGGGCCTATATTGGCTCTTCATGTTTTGCATCATAGCCAAATCTATGTCCACTCTAAGTATGTTGGGGGCTGACGCGATCGTCACCGAGTACTACCGATAAAGTGGCCGTTGTGGCGACTCTGACCATCTATCATATCTTGGTACATAGAAAAGGGTGTTTCTTCATCTTTCATGTACCCCGCTGCATGCTGACAGGATAATTTTATCCGAATTTCCCTCCTCCAATATCGTCTACGAGCCACGCTGCAGGTCTACAGTGAAGATAGTTCTGGAAACATTCCATAACTCCACCTCACTAACAGTTTTCAGACATACGTCAGGCTTGCATAAAGATTTTCTGACACCCACCAATTTCGTAATAAGCCAGGCGTTAGTTCGTGTATGCATTCTGCAGTACGCTTATTTTTTTAGTTTTGACCGAACTTGAAACTCTTCATCTATGGTTGAGTGCTACACCAACATACATCTCAACTGGCACTTAATCCAATCACCGTTCTGAACGAACTAGTATCGTATATATAGGTAATGTAGAATCATAAACACTGTTACACGGGGCGCAATGAGATCATTTTCATCTACCTATCATAATGCAGGCATATTGATGTAGGGTCGCACGACAAAATTGCGAGCATGAGTCCATTAGTGCAGACCCATGGCCACTTCAATTTATAGCGAGATGCATGAACATTGTGACCATTTCATTCACTACGCCTCATTAATGCTTCAGAATCAATACGTTCAGACCAGTTCTCTTGTTTTACGCACCAAAAACTTTTTAGACTACTTATTAGGTAGGTAAGCTAAAGTTTCATCTGAGTGAAAAAGTAAATATAATCACAGACGCATCTACGCCTCATTAGCGCGTCCAAAAAAAACATGAATTTCGAGATACTTGACATGAGTTATTAATATCTTAGGCGTCGAAACGCTAAAGAAATCTTGTAATGTGTGTACTGTTGTTGGCAGACAAATAGGTACTGTTTTCATACCCCTGCCAAGAAATTGCTTTTCACTAACATCCAAGTTATGCCGTAGTAACTTTCGCATCAGCCAACGGTCCGGAGTATCAGAATCTAAGCCTCCTCCATACCTCGACGTATCAAGGGCTTTACAGAAAAGGTTCATTCACAGTGCTCGCTATTCTCTCTACAACTCTCGGACTTGATGGTTATTAAAACCTAATCACTAATGTCCTTCAGTCGTGTTGACAGCAATAGACACTTTAGCCTCGCATAAGTTTAGTGCATCAATGAAAGTCGGATTTGATCTCATCAGTTATCTCGCTCTCCAGAGACAGGACATCGGGATATACATAGTCATGCTTATCAGAGTCCTGGCACTTTTTGGATTTTTCGCCCTACCATTCCTTTTCTCTCAAATTGTTACATATTTCCTCATCCCCAAAGATTTCGTGGAAGTCAGGAACGAAGACATCGATGGTTATGACGAGGAGGAGTTTTATGCTCATTTTCCCGTCAAAAAATGAGGAATTTCTATTCCAATAAAGAATAATTGTAAGTGTCACATTCGAGTCCTAATTAGCTATACTAATACCGATCAGCCGCGGAATTCGAACATATAACCGTAGTAAATGGCTCAACTTCTCAACAATCAGCAAGCAACCTAGATTTTGCGAGGGAATAATTGGATGCTCAGCTGAGTTTGGGTATCAGCACAAATGAGCACAATGTGTTCCATGGCTATGGGTTGAAGTGGTTCAGTCAGCGATATTCCCGCTCTGTGGGACTCATTGGTAATGCCATGATGAGGAAACTTAAAGTCAGGAAGTCGCGAAGAAGAATAGCAATCTTCAATCTTAACGGGTAGTTGATGAAATCAATGTACATGAGTTGGCTCTTAGTAGATGAAATGAAGGCAATGAATCAAAGCGCTGTGCTTGTATGTTACCCGAAATTCTTTATGTGTAAACATCGAGTACTTTTGCTTATGTTCAAAATTTTCCATGTATGTTTGTGTAATTTCATTCACAATCACTGACCTCACAGGTGGATATCACTCTTTAATCGAAGCTGGTGATGTCAAAGTAGAATAGAGTACATGTGGCTCATATAAAATAGATGCTCAATTTTGCGACGTAATTGATTATGTCATAACTACCCAGTGGAAATAGTCGATGTGATGAGTTCTCTCTATGACTTTGAGCTATGTTCTGGGATTATCCCCAACCCCATATCGCGTGCATGCTTGATGTGTCCCTGTTCCTCTTTCAAAGGAGATTCAACACTAGAATGGCAAAAATGGCTCCACCAGCCTGAAGTCTAGATTGGAGTTGCTGATTGTCTGCCCCAGCAGACAGTGAGGTAGTGGCATCAGTTGAAGTGGCCGCAAAAGAAGTGGTAGCTAATCAAATTAAGTTGTTGCACGTCATAAGTATCAGAAATTTGTATTGGATGGTCTTACATGGACTTGCGCTTGTTGTTCTGGCGTCTGTGGTTGGAATGACATTCGAAGCAGAGGTTGCCCCACTAGTAGATGAGGGACAAGATGGAAGTGTACTGGCGATGGAGATCCCCGCTCTGTGAATGTCTATGAGAAAGAATTCCTTGTAAAGTGGAACTATGTGTACTTGCCCCGAGCACAAATTCACCGCGAACGAGATAACCGCTAAGCAGGGTGTTAGAAACTTTGTTATTTGAAGAAGCATTGAGCATGTTACATACAATTAAAATCGGCCGTGTCGCATTTGGACAACGAACAACAACCTATGTTTTGAGAGAACGAGCTGTCAGCGCAGATGCAGCTGATATCAGTCTGACCGCACTGTGACGGCAAACTAGATAGGCAGCTTTGCTGTGAATAAATGTCAGTAATGGCTGGAGTATAGCTGACTAGAGAATACCTTACAGCGCAAGAGGGCAATTGAGCGGAAACTAAAGAGACAATGCTCAACAACGCAAAAGTTTGTTTTGTAACCTTCATGGTGGAATTTTATGACTTTTTGGACTCTGGCTTTCTTCTGAGAAACGAATGTCTGATAGAATATTGAGAGGTATAACTAAACGTGGAGCTGTTTTGAAGTTAAGTTGCCTTCCAATCTTCCATCGGAGTAGCCCGCTAGCTATCTTTAGCCCCCCTTCTGTATTCTAGAGCCTCATTTCTCTATTGGCCCCACGAAGTTTGATGTTTGAATCTTACACACCACCTTCGAAGTAAGGCAACGGCGTGGTATATTGACATATTCTTGGAAGTCTGAAGTTGTGCACCACCAGACTTTGACGCTTGGTTATCATTTGTGCAAAATGAGCCCGAAATTGAACAGTCCAAGAAACTGAGGTGGTAAACGTGCCATTAGCCTTCTGCAGATGAATATTGCGTTATCAGGGTTGTCAAATCCCCACCATCTTCGCGGCAGTAGAGTGGCGTAATCTTCAAATAAAAAATAAGCCGCATAAGTGCTAATCTGGCACAGCTGTTCGTCGCTCTCAAAAACCACACCAAAAACAGTCATTTTGTCCTATTTATAACCATAATCCTTCAGACGATCAGTGTGTGTGAAGACAAAGTTGAGGATCACCTATCGGGATTCATCAGACGGTTCAAGGTTTATTACGGAATGATTTCATCCGAAAAATGGAGTAATACAATGCCTGAAAACACAGGGTAAGAAACGACCGCTGTACAAAATCAGGGGGCGGCACGGACCGGGATCATTGATATAAGGTTATTAAAAACGACTAGTTTAGCATTTAAATAAGTAATAGCCGACTATTAGATACCGGCACTAGCACTACAGCCTCACCGAGTTACTTAGGATTGTACTACCTAACTGAAGTACCTAGGTAACTGCTGTTTACTGTAATGAGCTTGGATCAGTTTCAATAAGAACTACTTAGATTAATTCATAGAAAAGTTTAGAATTAAAATTTGATACAAGTTGAATATTCATTTATTTTTAGTGATTGAGAAACCCACATGCCTTATTATCATGATACTGACTCTAGTAGTCACGTAGATGGACGTCGCGCCCCCCTGTCGATCGATGCTGATAGGCGAATTCATAGAGCACGGGCCTTTGGGGTTACTTTATAATACCTCAATAGACTAACCCCTCCATGACAAACAAATGCTTGGAAAGTATTGCTTTCCAATAGATTTCCATGCATATCGAAATTGCATTTGTATTCTGCCTACTTCCCGTAGGTGATCCAATCTTAAATCGCTACATTTTGTAGCAGTTGGTGACTAATATCTCGCCATCGTTGTCAAGAATGAAGTACCTCTTCGCACCTGGGCAGCTGGAGCACCAAGAACCTCACTCGGCCTTCACTTACATTGCTGCGCCCCTTTAAAGCCTTTTCAAGCATAATCTTCTATCCATGGATGGATCTACCAATCTCACTGCTTGTGCGTTGTATCATGTGGCTTTGAAGCAGTAGTGAATTCTCGGTTCGACGTACCATCGTTTGATATCTCGACAGTTAGAATCAAATCTTTACAAACAACAAACAACAAACAAACATACAAACATACAAACAGACAATCTTCACGCCATCATGGATGTTTTCCAGGCCAAGCCAATCTTTACGGCTGTCTCAGTCGCAGGAGTAACTTTGCTGGGCTATTTCTTCACACGACTCTATGCAGCGCGGATGCTCATGGTAAAGCTTCAGAAGCAAGGCTGCGTAAGTTTTTATCTCTTCTTTACGAACGCCAACTAACAACATTTGCAGCCTGTAGCACCTGGACATTCCTTCCTCTTTGGCCACCTTCTCCTACTTGGGAAAATGTCCAGGCGCCTTCCAAAAGATGCTCACTACCAATATATGTTCGGCGAGATCTACCGCGACCATTTTGAGTCTACAGGCGTATATTATATGGATCTCTGGCCCATGACTGGACTCTTCATGTGCATCCACTCTCCCACGACTGCCATCTCTGTAACGCAGACCAATACTCTAATCGCCGCGCGCAAAGTTGACCTTTTGCCACGCTTTTTCAAGCCAATCGCGGGAGGCCCCTGTCTCTTCGATATGCCCGAAGAAGCATGGAGACCGTGGCGCGCTGTATTCAATAAGGCGTTTAATAATGAACATTTCCAGAAGCTGGTCCCGGGGATGGTCAAGCAAATCGAAGTTTATAAGGATATTTTAAGGTATATCATTGATTTATTTCTTCATTGTTGTCCGATATCTACCTCTGTTTGTTTGGCTCGCTGAATTCTTTGTATTTCCTGATGCATTCTTTTGTCTTTCAACCTTTCTCTGGTTCCAAATTGCTAATTATTGGATATCGTGATAGAGAGCACGCCGAAAAGGGCGATATGTTCTATCTGGATACCACGACTCTGCGCTTCACTATGGATCTAATTGGAAAGACAATCATGTGGGTCTCTTTCTCCTCGTTTTATTACCGAGTGAGGCTAAACTTATTAGGAACACCGAATTTCATGCTCAACGCGGGTACAATGTTCTTGCAGACTCTATGATTAGCCAAATTCGCTGGCATGAGCCTGCCGCAGCTATCGACCCCTTCAGCCGCATAAATGTAGCACGATGGTATATGGAATGGTCTAACGGAAGAAAGATGGATGCATATATTAGTGCAGAGCTAGATCGAAGATATGCGGAATACAAAGCCGACTCCAAGGATTCACGCAGCAAAGCTATTATTGATCTCATTTTGCAAGCAGAAATCGCCCCCGACGCCGATGTCAAGCCTGACAAACTAGACCCTGATTTCAAGGCATTCGCGATTAGGCAAATCCGCTTGTTTGTTTTCTCGGGTCATGACTCACTCAGTAGTACAATCTGCTATATCTACCATTTACTCTCGAAAAATGTCGAGCCGATGCGGAAAGTCAGAGAAGAACATGATCTTGTTTTTGGAAAACAGATTGATGGAGCAAGCGAGCTTTTGAAAACCAAACCACATCTCGCAAATGATTTGCCTTACACAACAGCTGTCATCAAGGAAACGCTTCGACTTTTTCCTGCCGCGTCAAGTTCCAGACAAGGATATCCAGGTGTGACTCTTTATGATGATCAGGGCACTGCATGTCCTACCAATGGTGCAGTCTGCTTCATTGATCATGTAGGGATGCACCGCGCGCCGAAGTACTGGGTTAGACCTGAAGAATTTCTTCCAGAACGATGGCTGGTAGACCCAGGCCATGAGCTATACCCTGTGAAAGGTGCATGGAGACCGTTCGAATATGGCCCAAGAAACTGTATTGCCCAGGGACTAGTCATGACGGAGTTGAGGGTTTTGTTGGCCTGCACTGTACGAGAATTTGTGTTTGAGGATGCATATGAAGAATGGGATAGGTCTCATAAGAAGAAAGGCCCACAAACTCATAGAGGAGAGAGAGCATATCAGATTGAAGAAGCTGCGGCACACCCGAGTGCCCATTATCCTTGCCGAGTGAGGATGATGAATGTTTGACATTAGAATTGGGTTGAATAAGGGGTGACGTGAGGTAATAATGGGATTCGGTAATGACGACGGTTAGCAATAAAGTAGATAAGTGAGTTAATTGCAAAGTGATTCATAACAACAATGTTCATATGACTAGCAATCTCAACGAGATGCTTGATATCCTCATGATACCGGCCATGATCAAAACCTATAGCTTTCTATGGGTGCTTGGATAACTTTCAAGACGCAACACGACCAAATTCATGGTAAATTCCAGCTCTTCAAATATGCAGGATAAATACATGCTGTGCAGGCGCTACCTTCCAACAGAATCGTAATGTGTAAAATATTAAAGTATTGTTTCTCATAACATAACACTCAAATGACAATCAGATAGAAATGGATGAGGTGAATTCGTGTGAGCGTAGACGCTAACCGAATCGGGACTAGCCGGATCTCTAAGACTTTAGGTCCAAAGTGCTTGTGGTTTCCAAACTGACAATGGGATATTCTCGCGACGCGTTCTGAAATATACTACGTATCTGTCGAAAACACCATATAATACTTCGAGACTGCGCAATTCCTATGGTTATTATCGCCTAAATGAGCAGTCTGTTTTAAGACGCTTTTGAGCTGTTTTCAAAATTTGTATCATTCTTTCGCAAGGTCCAAGGAACGATTGATTGAATTAGTACTTCCTATATTCGATAATCCCACATCAACATGACGACTCGCAATCCCCCTCAATCTTTCATTTCGAGTTATGCTCCGCGATTGCGCACATATACCAATTCGTTGCTTACCCCAGTCATACAGCCAACAGCAGCTGTCGCGACACCACTCGGTAGAACAACGAAAAGAGGAACCACAGCAATAAATTATGCAGAGGATGGATATGAATTCGAGGAGGATGATGATGATGAAAACAAGAGAAGGCCTACAGGCTTAAGGAGTTTACGAAGGGAAGATATTGGACAGGCAAAACAAGACCCCGCAGAAAAGGTTGGCAAAGAAGCTACTGCGCCAGTGGAAATTCAAGGTATTTGGAGAGATTGGATGGGCAAGCAACGCCCAGGAAAAACCGACATGCAAAATTATGCACAAATCGCATTACCTTTAACGTTAATCCCGATTCGAATCGACCTTGATATTCCTTCCTTCACACCCCCTGCGCCTTTGCCCGTGCCTGTAAACATTCAAGTATCTTACCCTTCGATTGATACTTCTCTACCGGCATATAAACCACAAGAGACGACAGTCCCATATCGCCTGAAGGATGTATTTCTGTGGAATTTACACGAGACATTGACAACCACCGATCAATTCGCGCAAACCATGGTGCAAGATCTGGACTTACCGAACAGAGGACAAATGGCAGCCGAAATCAGTAAACAGATCCGTACACAGCTTGAAGAATACGCAGGTGTGGCTCTTCATCCACTCTTTCATTCGCAACAGACTGCAGCGGCGAACGGCACTGTGACCACCACCATCAAACAAGGGCCATCGTCTCGAGATGCTTCAAGTACACCTGCAGCAAGTGGGAATGCGACTCCCATGCGAAATGTCATTGGCCAATCTAATGGCTATTCGACTCCTGCTAAAGCTCCCACCTCACAGTCGCAAGAAATCACCGCCACAGCAACCTCAATACCACCAGAATCCGATGAATATAATCCCGATGATATGTACCGGTGTATCATTAATTTGAATATCAATCTTTCGAATCATCTCTACACAGACAGGTTTGAATGGTCATTACTACACCCCCCAGGAACGGCTGAAATATTCGCAAAACAAACCTGCGCAGATCTTGGTTTACCTGGTGAATGGGTCCCAGCCATGACACATGCGATTTACGAAGCAGTTTTGAGATTGAAAAAGGAAGCATGTGAAAGTGGTGGTTTGGTTGGAGGTTATGGGGGAGAAATCCCCAATGATGCTGTGCATGGTAAGGATGCCGGGTGGAGATATGATAATGAGCACCTAGCAGATGAGTGGGAACCCAAGGTTGAGATCTTGTCAAAGGAGGAAATCGAGAAGCGAGAAGGCGATAGAGAAAGACAAATTAGGCGGATGAGGAGAGAAACCGCTAGATTCTCATCGAATTCCGGGATGGCTGGTGGTCTTCCAACACCAGGTGAGAACAGAGGATACTTCGATGAACCACCGGCAGAAGAACGTATGGGTCGTGGTGAGAGAAGCAAGAAGAAGAGACGCTTCAGAAGTCTTAGTCCATTGGGGAGATCTGGAACACCTGGTGGAAGAGGAACTCCTGATACTGGCGGTATTACTGGGTATGGTGGAGGTGGTAGTCTTACCGAATTTGAACGGAATAGTTGGAGATGCTCACACTGCAAAGTCTGGGGAACATCGGTTTGGTGTGTGAGGGATGGGCCTTTTGGACCAAGAGTAAGTCGATTTTATGTCTTGATTATGATATCTATCACTAACAATTTCTAGACTCTTTGTAATAATTGTGGCTTCCTGTTTGAGAAAGACCGCAAACTACCTCGATGGGCCAAGGATCTTCACAGACAAGACATCCGCTCAAGTGATTACAGATAAAGATAATTCCAGCCTGTTCTTTCAATAGAAATATCTACTTTGATCTTCATGAATTTTGGGAAGTTTTTTTTGCTAGGAGTCTGAGACAGGGGGCTTTATATCACGCAGCGATGTGGTAATATGGATCACAAATGATTTACTTCTGGTGTGCACATTGACAAGTGTTTGATTAAGGATGGAAAAGTCGGTTTCATAGAGCAATGACTTTTCGAGAAGAAACTTTTGTACAGTAGAGAGCTTAGGCCAATTAATGAAGTTTGATCAAGAATATGTGTATGAAAGTTTTTATTTGACAGATGTTGTGAATGAATGTCTTGTAGTATCTTTATTAAACATTCTATTCTTGAAACCCTTCTTAGAAAATAGTATACTATCTTGAAGAGAACCCCAAAAGAACCGCCATATACACCCGTTGCTATGATTGCAGTTTTCATTAATTACATTAGTATCCTTTTGTGATGACATGAGATAACGACCAAACCCTGATGAACCCGGAGCGAGGAGCCAGAGAGAGCATTGTAATAAAAGCAAACTTTCAACTCCCATCCTGCCACTACAATTGATAACCCAACCTCCGCAGAAAAAATCGAATCAAAATCAACAAATCCCCATATCCAACCACCCCACTTCCACCATCAATTCTTCCGCATGCAGTAGTAACCTCGAAACAAAAAATTCTTGAGTATCATAGACTCTCCATGTGCTGATATTGGCAGGAGTTCGTCCATACATATCCTTCCCATCCATCAGATATCTACATATCCATCTTCGTTTTCTTATTCGCCTCTTCGTCATGTTGACCAACGCTGGATTCTCTAGCTCTCTTGCCAGAATCTTTTGAAGGACCATTAGGGAAAGTACCCATTTGCGGTTTCGTTTTTCCTTCTTGTGCTTTGGCTTGCTGTTGTCGTCGGAGGATGGCTTGGCATTCCGCGTTCCAGAATGCAGCGCCTTGTGCTCGTATAATCTCATCTTCATCTTCATATCTCTGGAATGCTTCCTGTGCGCTTGGAAATTCCAGTTTCGGCGCCGCCATCTCATTCTGCATCTGTCCCTGTGTCAGAAGAGTTTTTAAGCGCGCGTTCATGATACTATCGAGCTGAGCATTTCTTTGCACAGTTGACTCCATATTTGCTGTTCCATTCCTCGGTCCTTGTCCTTGTCCTTGTCCCTGTCCCTGTCCTTGAGCCTGTCCTTGAGCCTGTCCTTGAGCCTGTCCTTGAGCCTGTCCTTGAGCCTGTCCTTGAGCCTGTCCTTGAGCCTGCGCGTTAGCTTGAGACTGGAGATGAACCTGTGCCAACATTCTCTGCGCCTGTGTCTGTGCCGCCAGTGCCTCCCCTTTGACTCTCTGTCCCCAGATTTTGACAGCTTCCTCTCCTAGGATATTATTCTTTCCATTGATCGTCACAGCAGCGCCAATTTCAACTTTGATTTCCCTAGGTTGACCATCAGCATCGCCCATTGGAATACCGCGTGATCCTTCAGACGCAGAATGTAGAGATTTGAGGATTGCATCTGTGATTTTTTGGATTTGTGGGGCCGGGTGGAAAGTGATTATGTTGTCATCGCCGGTGATAGTCAGGGGAGAATTGATAATGAGATTGAGACGAGTGGATTCATAACTGGTCTCCTCCTCCTTCTCTGGTTGTTGAACAGATACTCGGGGTTGTGCGTTAGTTGGGGCGGTAGGAGCAAAGGTATTTGGCCTTCCATTCTTCATGATGTATTGTGTGGGGTTTATGGCCACACCTGTGTTGAGAAGTTGTTGGAATGCAGGTTCGATTTGTCCACCGTTCATTCTGGTAGCGATCGGGCTTTGGCTGAGAACATCATTTGGCAGAATTTGTACCGGTTGAAATGCTTGCGTCTGGTTAACATGCTGCTGTTGTAGTCGTTGCTGCCGTGCTTGATTTCGCTGCATTTGTTGTTGAGCCACATACTGCTGCTGTTGTAATTGTTGCTGTGCTCGATGTTGCTCCAATTGATGATAGTGTCTTTGTGCATTCTGAGCTAGCTGTTGTGTGATTCGATGTGGGTGCAGCATATTGATTCCCATCTGCTGTTGCATCGAGGTATTTACTGGTCCAAAATTAGGATTGTTGGCGCCGCCTTGTTGCTGCATCTGTGGACTTGCTCCAATTCTAGGATCGTTGACTCTAGAGTCTGTATTCGTACCACCAAGGGAATCCCTAGGTGTAGCACGACCACTGGTTTCATTAGAAGCAATTCCCAAACCTTGAGGCAAGCCTTGGTGACTAATTGTAGAAGAATCACTGGAGCCTGACATGATGAAAAGGTGAGGATGATTAATGTGATTCAAAATCTTGTCGGATAGAGTACGGCAAAATGTGATGGTAAGAAAAGGTTGTTGTAAGTTCAGTTGTGTTGGTTGAATTTTAGAGTGGACAAAATTGATCTCGAAATTCGAATCCTTAAATATTCGTTGTGGGAAAATAATAGAGACGCTAAGCTAATAAAAAACTTGTTTTGCTTCCGAGGTGGAAGATACCGAAGGACCTGTATTGATTTTATATTCACTATCATAAACTTCACTCGAAGCTCTTCTAGATGATGGTGGTAGATGGGTAATAAAGAAAGATACAGTGAATGCCTGAATCTTTATGGAGGATGGAAGAACTTGGGACTACCATTCATCCTTTTGAAAATGAGAAATAACAAAATATATAGCTCTCAATTATAAAAGGTGATTTCTTCCAGATCGTTGAAGTGATCGTTGAAGTTGAATCTCTAATGCCATAATGAGTATCTATTCGCCGGCCGAATCTAATAAAAGAAATGGATAGCATGGCTGACCTCTGATAGTTGAACAAATGACTTCTATGGAATGATATAGATACAGAAGTATGACTGTTAAAAACTTTGATAGGTTGTTGAAATTTTGTCAAAGTCAAGTTGAAAAGACTAGGAGAAGCATGAACTGTCTGTAGACAGTCCTTCAATGACGGAATAGAAGGTATCTAATTAGGATAGTAGAAGATAGAATCAGTATTATATGAAATTTACATCGTAACTTGGCCAGTTTCCACAAGATACGATAGTATGTGTTAATTTTAGCTTCTATATATCAATATTGAATCATCACAACCATTAATGAGACAGAGAACAGGGAATGTCTGAATCTAAGACTCCAAAACCGGCACCTAGAAGATATTTATGACTATAGAAAAGCACTAGGACCATCTACAAAACAGCAACTGGTAGCAAGCGCTGGGTATCTGCATGATCTGGTAGTTTCATGAATAGAATACTGGAGGGAAACATTGAAGGAAATGGTCATAGTGGACAGGTGAAGATGATAGTAGTTTGTGGAATATTACAAGATACCCTGATCTAGGCAACTTCATGTTCATGAGAACAGTAAGCACTGGAATAGATCTGAGAATGTTTTCTGGCTACACTCGGAACTCAAATGGGCATTGATCAAACATCTTGGTGGTAATGAGTGAAGAACATTGCTATTAATGCGTTCAGAGAAAAAAAAACTATTGTTAGAAGTAGGAACAACAGTGTTTGTGAGCCATGGTGTATACAAACGGAGAAGAGCAGTATGACAGAAGACAAATAAAGCACATCCACTTGAATCATCAATATGATGGTGTTTGTCCAGCTCCAAACCATGATCAATGTCATTTCTTCATCAGCTATCAAAAGCGTCAGTGCTAGCTAACGCATTTGCTTATTTTATGAAAGACACATCGAAGAATCATTGCTTCATCTTCAACCTTGACCTGGCATCTTCTCAAGCAACAGTACTCACTTATACAAATTGTTCTTTTGGTCGTAACATATCATCAATTGGTATCATCTTCTAGGCCACCTCATCATCACATCTATCCCTTGTATCTTACAAAACCCTCTGAGGAAAAAAGATCTACGCTCAAGTAGCTCATTTCTTCTCTACCGACCTCTTAACACCCTCGACAAATGCCTCAACTGCCTCGCCACCTCCTAATGGAACACTTCCTCCCTTTACTAAACCATTGTTCTTTAGCTCAACTCCCAACGCATCCGCAATACTAGGCAAACCACCGTCACGAATTGCCATAGTCAGACTTCCTAAGCTCTGATGAAATTGTGGACTTCGAACTACTCTCTTCAATACCGACTTCTTTTGGTCCAAGCTCAAAGCCTCCATAGCAGCGTTTGCAGTCGCAGAAGTTGCATCAGCCATTCCTTCGAGGGAGGATGCGGATTCTTGTGCAAGTTGTAGGATGGTTGGTGGAAGATAGCTAAGGAGATTATCCACTTGGGCTGGGGTTGCAGCGTCGATCGATGGAATGGTTACCGTATTTGGTAAAAGGTCCGGTAAAGTAGTGTACATTTGAGTTTGGGATTGTTGTTGCATGCCAGCTCCCCCAGGACCCTTCAATGAATTGAGAAAGTTTTGAACAACTGAGGCAGCATCTGATGGCCCTGAACCAGCACTACTCACATGGTCAGCGCAAGGTTCTTCTTGAAGGCTAAAACGGATGGTTTTCGTAAATTTTAAAATTCATGCGCAACATAGCTGTCTAGAAGTACAAGAACAATACGGTATGGTTATTGTTGAATCTTCCAATGTACCAACCAAACGCCTCGTGTGTAAATGCTTGGGTACTTTGCAAAAATTGGATGAGAATAACCTACGCTCTTCCACCATCAGCTCCGGCCTCCCTTGAGCTAGCTCCTTCTTCCCTAACATCTCCACCAGTTGCACCTGCGCCAGCACCTCCACTTCCACCTTGGTGTTCGGATGAATCACCATGACCTTCAACGTCCTCCATCGTTTCGTCCTGATCGTCATTTCCTCCGTCATCTCCTCTGACTTGTGCGATTTCCTGTTCGACGTCGACTTCATCTCCTTGTAACAATGAATTCACAATTTGTCCAATCTTCAAGTCCCTGGGACTAAACCAACTTGCATCTCCATTTCGCGCTTGGGGTTTTGATTGCATCCAGAAAAGATATCTTTGGGAAGAGGATGAAAATTTAAGAACGAATATGCGGCCATTGGTTTTTGCGGTTGGTTCAGTGGTTTGATTGGAATCATATGGTTGGAAAATGGCGTCGGTTGGTGGTAAAAGTAAATCCATATTCTCATCATCATCCATACGTTTGCTTCTTTCTCGCCATTGGAAATGAATTAAATCTTCATAGCAGTTAGTTGAATCCTATCTCCAGGGATATCTAAATGACCTACCATCTTCGGACCAAAGGTAGATATAACCTGGAGTTGCTTCAGGCTTAACTTTGTGAGGAAGACTTGATGTCTGGTAGAAGTAGAGCTGTTAGTTTGGCATTTGAATGCAGAAAGATATGAATAAACTTACATCGATTTCACACTTCCCCGCCTTGAAAGTAATAATTGGTGAAATGGACATCTTGTTGGTTTTGGTAAGCTGTTTGGTGACAGGTATCTTGTTGAACAGGATAGCTTTAATGCGTAATGAAGTATGGGAAGCTACACTCTAGGCGGCCGGAGCTTCGCAATGAAAGTGTCCGGGTGGGTCTACCAATTATGACGCTAAAAAGGCTATCGATATTATGGCCTGATGTGACAGGCATACTTTCCCCAAACTTAGATAATCACACAATCACATGATACACAAATCATTAAGCGAATTGAAATTCCAAGTGTAGTGCCGCAGGTTTTAGCCCTGCTTGAATTTCTGTATTGGAAGAACATCTCGACTTTCACGCCAACGACCAGCGACAAAATTTACGACAACTACCCACCAACGGTTCCTTCTTCAAGATGTCGGCAACAGAAGCTACCCAGAAGAAGACCTTCGGAAAATCGACCCGGGTCGTTTCCAACGAGAAGGCACAAAAGTACTACCCGGCAGAGGATGTCTCCGCTCCAAGAAAGGTAAATACAAGAGGACCCTTTTTTTTGAAAGAGATGGCAGAGCGTTGGTTGGAATATCGTCAAATTTGGAAAATAACGAGGCGCGGGATTCAAATATATGGGACTTTGCGATTACAATTGCAATCGGCAGAGATATATTTGATTTTGATGTCAACCAGATCGCCATTATATTACATCACTGCATCGCATTTTCAGGCATTGTTTTATGGTTGAAAGAGCCTCATCACTAACAATCAATTCTCCAGGTCCGCAAGTCCATCAGACCATCTAAAGTTAGACCATCCCTCGAACCCGGAAAAGTCCTGATCCTCCTCGCCGGTCGTTTCCGTGGCAAGCGTGTCGTTCTCTTGAAGGCACTCGACCAAGGTGTTCTCCTCGTTACCGGCCCATTCAAGGTCAACGGTGTCCCAATCCGCAGAGTCAACGCCCGTTACGTTATCGCCACCTCTACCAAGGTTGATTTGGAGGGTATCGACTCAGCAAAGATTGAGGAGCTCTCAAACCCAAAGTACTTTGCTAGAGAGAAGTCAGAGAAGAAGGCATCAGAAGAGGCTTTCTTCAAGCAAGGCGAGAAGCCAGAGGTAAGATCTCATGCTGGATATATGTCACAATTTCATGAAATTAACAAATCAAAACAGAAGAAGCAACCATCCTCCAGCCGCGCAGCAGACCAAAAGACCATCGACAAGGCCATCCTTTCCAGCCTCAAAAAGACCCCAGAACTCGCCAGCTACCTCGGTAGCTCTTTCAGCCTTCGCAAGGGTGATAAGCCACACGCAATGGTATTTTAAATATGTGTTGTGGAGATTGGGGGGAATGGGTACATTTGGGCGCGGATGTGGGAAAATTCTACAGTCGATTTGACGAGTCGCTTCTTGCATCTTGACCTCTGAATGGGCATGGGTCGTCTCATTGTGAAGGGCGCTATGTAATCTGATTTGCAATGATGAAGAAAACCACAAAGCAATGATATCTTTTTTTACGCGGATGATTGTGAGATATGTGATTTCAGGATGATCTTTGGCAGGTGAAGAGTATGGATGGGAGTGTGTGGCAGACGTGCATTTCGAAGGATGAATTTGTGACGACATCAGCCAGTCAACATGTGTTCATGTGAAAGTCGCGGGGTGCAATGCCCGAGTGCAGCCCAATCCATTCTGTGGAATTACTAAAGGGTCGGGTGGGTAAAGATAAGTATGGCCAAGCCACGTTTTCTACTCGTCATACCGAAAACTACGCACAGCGTTATCTTTGGCCATGCATAATTTGATTTCATATTCATGTGATGAAAGTCTACGCGCTAGCACTGATACTTTTGGAATTCAAAAGATCCCCGAACCAGCTAACACGAAGCTTGGGTGCTGTTGGTATAGTGTTCCACCAGCACTAGCAAAAACACAATGTTGGTCTCACTGACT